GAGCAGCGAACCTGACGAGAAGCGCAAAGGGAAAATCCCACCGAAATCACCGAGATCACCGAGGTTACACACAGCAGACCCGGCGGCCGGCTGAGCGCCAGGTCTTACTTAAGCTGCCGCTTATCTAATATAAAGCTTGGCGAGGCAGAATACCTAGACTTACTGCACGTCAAGGCGGTGAGCTCACGGCGGGACAGTGTTTGGTTGCACGAAAAAGCCAAGCCTCATCTTCTCCCAAAAGGAATACCTACCTGGCCAACGTACACCACCGCGGGCTTCTCGCATCCCGCGGGCCATCGTACATGTGTTCGCCGCTGATGAGGTACGTAGGCCAGACGCTCCGCTCCGCACGCGTCCATTGATAGTCGGGCCATCACCATCACCGTCGACACCGTCTTCGCCAATGAGTCCGTCCATGTCTTGCCAGCGCAGCACGATACGACCGCACAGATGTAAACGTCAGTAACACGCTCTCATCCTCATCCTCCAGGGGGGGTCGCTCATGTATGTAATACCAGCCTGCCAGCCCAGCCCAGGCCTGCGATGCGATGCGATGCGATACAACAGATGCGGTAACTTAACACGCACACGCACACCCTAAGCCCTGTACAACGTCCCGTAAATAGAGATACCGTGCATCTTTTCCATCTGACTCTGGTTTAGGCTCGGACGAGAGGGGGGAGGAACGATTGCGGACGGATGAGAAGACAGGGTGTTACCGAGGTCAGACGGAGTGTATCCACGGCGCCGAAAGGAAGGTCCAACAACATGCACCACGGCCTGCGTCTTCCTCAGCCCAGCAGGGTGCAACAATGGCTGCCCAGCCCCGATTACTCTCGGCGGAGGAGCAAGAAACACGCCGAATCACACACTCACGCCGCCGTAGTGCTGCGCATCTCTGCCCAGTCAGATCATTTGCCATGTCTGAGACACACAAGAAAACGATCCTCTCAACTCACACTTCAAACACTCACACTTCACAGTCGCACTCGCATGCTTCAGCCCTATTTTTCCTTATTCCTGGTTTTCTAAGCGACTCGGCTCGGCGGAGGGGCGGCAGGGGCTTGGCCTTTGGAGGTCACGTCGGACGGTCGCTTGCGGCCAGCTCGGCCGGGAAAGTCGGTCAACTTCGGCCATCCTGTACCCGACTCCTGCATGCCGCCTTGGTGGTGATCTTCACACTACCGTTTGTACCTCTATGTCCCCCCTATCCGATCCTGCCTTGCCTGCCAGAAGGCTAACATCAAATCGGCGAGACATTCACCTCTCTCTCTCTCTCTCACTCTCACCCATCTCATGACATGATATTCACAGACAACATCGTCATCCACGCACAAGAAAACAAACCTCCGAATTGGAACCCAAACACAGCATAGCTCGTCCATCTACTGCACAGCAATCAAGGAAGCCTATCCTACCCGCAAATCCCGCGCTAGCTCGCCAAAAGATCCCAGAATACGGCACACGAAAAAGAGGCCAAACACGGACAGGGATGTGAGAGGTTCGTTATCCGTCCCCCCGGCCGCCCGTATCTCGACACGCTAGCGCGCTGGCCTGCCTAGTCAGAGAGTCTACTTTGACCTGCGTCAGTGTCATTCAGTTGCATACAAACCCCTTCCTGTCAACAACACATGGACTGGCATCCATCACCGCCTTATGACGATTACCACGGCATCAGCGCCTCTAATACGCATAAACGACCTTCTTGCCGCCTTTCTCTTGTGACACCTCTCTCACTCTCGCGCAAGGCGCCTCGCCGTGCCGTGCGCCTACATCTCCCCCTCATCACCGACATCTTGTCAATTCAACATCCAGGGAAAAGGGCGTGATCGCCAGGCAAGAAGAATGAATTCTTCCCTTAAACATGCCGATGGTCCTTCCCTCACCTCGAGCCACAAATCTGGATGCCGGCCACATGTCTGATAATTCCTCCGTGGTCACATCTCAACATCGCTGGGCAAACCGTTTTTCGAACTCTTCTTTCCTGAAAGGCCAAGTACAGCCAGACGCTCAGACTAGCGGCAGTGACAAGATTCAATGATCGCCGTCCAGCTGAAAAAAAGTTGACGTGACCAGGGTGTGTTGGTGTGTGTGTGTGTGTGTGTGCGTGTGTGGTGTGCGCCAAATGGGACCATGTCATGGTTACACACGGACCGCAGCATTCCCTCAGATTGGATAGACGACAACTGCGCCAAGTGCCCCCTCCAACCATTACCTACACCCAAGCACATATTCGTACATACGAGCAAATGCGATAGTCTGTCGATTTTGTTGACTTTTTCGTGATGAGCCACCGCCTCTCTCTCTCTTTCTCTAATCATTTCCCCACAGGCTGCGGCTGGGTTCTGTTAAATGAAAAACATAATCCCCACGTGCTTCCTTTCCAATCCCACCAAGAAATTGTTTCAACACTGGTTCATGGATATTAAACCGGGATCAAACAACCCAATCAGAAAAGACCTGGGACGACTGAATATGCCCTGCCCAATCCCACGAGGCTGTTTCTGCGGCCGATCACCAGAAATGGCATGTATCTTGCAAATCAAACCATGCTTCCCCAAGGTGTTCAGCCTAACGGTAGACAGCGGTGGACCAAAATCATATTCACGAAACATGTTTAAACCACACACGCCCGACGGAAATATCGCCGCCGCCGTACCGATTCCGTCGCCCCTCCGACACCTTACCTCGACGACGTCTCTCTCGACTGAAGGGTGTACCGTAGTGGCTGAGCCCCTTCCTCCTCCTTCACCCCCCGTCACACGGCCCAAAAAGGGAAACACATAACAATCTCTCGTCAGATGCTTAAGACGCGGTACTGGTGAAATTAAAGCTTCTGAAACGGCGAAAAACACAGTACAGCCTTTTTGCGTGCGATTCCTTCCGCGACGGAAGCGAGGCCGTTTCTGGCGTTTTTGGCTAATGGAGGGGGGAGTGGGTGTGTGTTGTACAGAACATGGGCTCATCTCGAGAGTCTCTCTGTCTTGCTTAGCCTCTCCCGCTCCCGCCACCCCATGTTCCTTCCTTCCTCGCGCTTGCCTGTCAACGAGCGTGCTGCATATGCCCGATCTGGGGCATCTGTGTGATGCGGTGTGGTGTCGCTAGGGCGGGTTGCGGTGCAGGTATGTCATTGAGAATGCTCATATGTATTTTCCCAAACAGGGGTATCTCTCTATTATTACCAAGTATTGCTTTCTCCTCCTCTTATTTGTATGTCTGCCGTCGAATCATAGAAATCGTTAATGTACACGGCTATTTGCAGCAACAGCCCATGGACAACCCATGGTTGCTGTAATAGCCGTTGTCGTAAAGAAGAAGAAAAAAATCTCCTCTCCCCCAGGACAAGGGGTGTGAAAGCCTGAAGAAGGTAAGCCGTCATCGTATCCGTGAGGATGATGATGATGATGACTGATGAACTGCACCCCTCCCTGGCCGCCCCACAGGGCTCCGCCGAATGCGAGGGACACGGAAACAAAAAAGGTCCCTTCGCAGCCCCACATTAAAAACGATAGAGACAACCCTTTCCGCCAGTGTCTTCTCATCATCCCGAATATGCCTTGCGCCACACATATGCAAGAGCCTTTCAAACCACCACCCTGTCGTAGCAGATGGACAATCCATCATCCCCAATTCCCAAGGAATGGAACAGAGTACAGAATCAGGAACCAAACATGGGCAGAATAGGGTGAGCAAAATCGAAACACAGCCCCCGCCGCCATGCAGAAACACCACACAGGAAACAAAAGACAAAAGTGACCGAACACCGAGGACCTCTCCCAACCACCCTCACCCCTCATCCTGTGCTACTGCAGCTCCGCTCTGCCTGCATCTTCAGATGTGGGTGTGCGCAAAGCCACACAGCCTGCGTGGAACTCTTCTCGAAGCCTTCCCAGTCGGGTAAGGCTCGACATGCCGACGTCGACACGCAGCGAAGACCACCAACACCTTCCCCTCGCAGCACCACTTCGTACTCCCAGAATTCCGTTCGTCTCTCACCTCTGGGTCGTACACACACACCTATACACACCCTCCCCCATGCCTTCCCGCTCCACATGACTGCCCGAGAAGAAACATGTTCCCATGCAAGAGGGCCACAGCGCCAATCGCATCTAGACTCAAAAGGTGAAAACTCCAACCATTCAAACAGTTTAAACGGCCTAGGCAAGGCACCTTTGGGTCCAACCAGCAGGCAGGCAGGAAGAAGCGACCGGGGGCCTTTTGGTTCGGAGTCTGACGCCGCCGCCGACTCATAGCTCGACTGACAGCTGTTGCCGCCGCCGGTCCACCAGTTCCGAGGAGAGAGGCCACCACGACCGACTCCGTGATTGGCCACCTTGGCCTATCCGCAGCGAACCACCGGGCCCTGGTGAGAAAACTTGCGAACGCACGGGTTGGCCCCAGACGTCATGATTTCTCGTCGCTGAGCTCGCAGAAGCGGCAGGACGAGAGAGGGAGTCTGATAGAGCTGTGTCTGTGTGCGCATGCCATGGTGGTGTTCGCTGGCCCGCGGGACCTCAGCCGCACTTTTGTAAGTTTGCTCAAAGTCCAATGAGAAAATTCCCGTTCGAATGAGTCGGCGTGGTCAGAGTCGTGTCGGGCAACGGACCCCGGAGGGCATCCTTGGGGTGGCAGAGGCAAGGTCCAAGATGTGCGGAAAGAACAACACATCCACCACCACTTGATCGCGCGCGCGCACACGCCCCCCCGGAAACCTGGTTTCGTCTTCTCATGTCCCTTCCTCCGTAACCCGTTCGCGAACGTCGGTCGACACCATGTGGGGTATGTATGCTTCTTGCAGGTTCATCATTGCTGCGCACTCTAGGCATCAGCATGTCCACCCAATGAGAAGTCCACTCTGCAAAGAGGCGCAGCCGGCGTAGCAGCTTTCTCTTGTGTGTCTCTTCCCTTGACCGCAGCTTCGTCTCCATTGTCGCGACTCGACTCGAATCGACTCGAGGAGCTTCGAGGTCGACAGCTCCGGGGAATGCTCGAGCGCGAGCTCAATGCCAACCTCTGGCTCGCTTGCGCTTGTCTTCGCACGGGTTCTTGCATTTGGGGCAGACATGGTCGGGGTACGAATTGACGTCGACCCTGATCAGACACTTTGAGCACCGCCACCACCGGGACGACAGATTACGGCCCTGGAGCCAGCTGTCATCCACGTGCGTGCCCCGCTTGAAGATGTCCTCGTTGTGATAGTCTCGCAAGTGATCGCGGAAGTGGTCTCGTCGTCCGAACGGTTCGTTCTTCCTCGAACACTTGGGATAATCGCACTTGTGAGCCTCCTTCTTGGACGGGTCCTGGTGCACTTGTCTGTAGTGTCTCTCGAGGTCTGCCTTCCTCTTGAACGGGTTCGCGGTACAGCCGGCTTCCAGGCAGGGAAACTTGTAGTCTACCACCTCTTGCTGTTCTTGTCCTCTGCAGTTTTTCACAGCCTTGTTAGCTTCAATCCGTGTTGGGGAAAGCGGCCTCCCTGTCGTCTACTCACCCCTGGTGAGGTATCACCGCTGGATACTGCCCTGCAGGAACGAATCGTGGTTTCATCTGCCAGTAACCTCCATCCTCGGTGGGGACGTAGTCATATTTTGACCAGTCGACGTCGCCATAGTAGGAATCCGTCGTCTGCTGCGCCGAAGAGGACGCGGCGGTGGCGTAGTCGTCGCCGTAATAACCGCCGGTGTCCTCGCCGTAGTACGACGCATAGCTGTTGTCCGTCGGGGAGTGGCTCATGTTCGTCGTGTGGTAAGCGTAGGACATGCCTGGCGATCCAGGCGAGCCGTAGGAGGACGGTGTGAGGGGCTCTCTGCTTGAGCTGGTGTCGGACAGCTGTCTAACGAGCGCCGGTGCCTCTAGGAACGTGGGAGATTCAAGGAAGTCTCCTCCCGCCGACACTGGAGACGTTGCGTTAACATAATAGCTCGCGCCGCGGTAGTATTGGCTGCCCATTGTGTGATGGGTGAACAACTGTCGTGCTGTCTAAACCGTTTTGTATCCCGGTCTGTGGATAGCAGTTCAGTAAGGAGAGGGTCGCCCTTGTCAAGGTGAATTGGGAAGTAAAGGATAGCATGTGGTCGAGGGGAGGTTGGCCCGGAAGTAAACTTGCTGGGGGGTATTGAAGTAGAAATCAGTGATGACTTACACAATCAGACGCCGCTACGGGTTGGTCGTGGGGGTCTGACTTCAGATGGATGCAAGCGTGGCGTGCAAGCAGCTTCCCATCTGAAAAGCTTAAAAGTTGGTTGGTTGACGTCCGAGTTGTTTCTGGCCGCCTCGGGGGGATGTTTACGTTTTGGTAAGGAGTGTGGGTGGTTCTTTCTTTTATCTCAAACTAGACAGATCGACCTTTTGGCTCGGGGAGCTTGATGTTTGGCTTTTGGAAGGATTGAACAGTTGGAATGTGTGAAGTGATTACAAACAACGGATACACGAGTCGGGGTGGGAAACGGGTGGTTCAAGTATTACGGACACGAAGGCAAGGCAAGGCCAAGTTCACCGCCATGCTCGATGAAGGAATACGTCAACCTCGAGCGGCACGGCTAGGTAGAGAGACACGAGATGTGGCAGCAGAAGTAGCGGAATGGAGTCATGGTTGTCCACCCGGCGCACATGGCTTCATCTCCGTAAGACGGCCTTGGGTCCCCCCTTGGTCTTGGCTAATGGGGAGCCTCATAAGGGCGCAAAGTTGACCCTGGGCCTGTGCCGTGTAGGGTCGAGATGGATTAAGTTATGTGCCTAGGCGGCGCGAGGCGAGGAGACAACTGCAGGTGCTGGGGACCTTGGGACCCTCCACACACAAGTTGAAGCTCTCAGAGGCGGTCCTCGGTGAGTGACATACTTCTAGAAAGGGGCTTAGAAGCCGCCAGCCACCCAGTCGATGGATTCAACGCGCGAAGACATGCATGTACTAGCAGCTGGCACGTCGACGTATTGGCAACATGTGTAGACAAGGTCAGCTCAGACCCGCCGCACTCCCCCCGTACCCATGACGATTTGTGGATGTGCGAGCAGCGTCCTATCACTAGACAGGGCTGGCGGGGGAATAAGGTGTCGGGACGTGCAGGGAAGGGGGCCTCAACGGCCGTTTACATGGACATCTTGTCGGAAGGGGGTCGACTTGAGGAGACTTGCGGGCTGGGCAGTCAGCTCTGAGAAACGCTGGGTTGATGCTCATTGGCAAAGATACTAACGACCCAAGACATGTCTGGTAGACCCAAAAGATAAACCGGGGCAGGGTAAGGGCTATTACGGAAATGTTTCTGGCGGTCGGTTTGGACGGCACGAAGAGTCGAGGAGTCGAGACAGGGTCAAGACAAGGACAAGGTCAGTCAACCCGGAGTTGGGGACAGCATGTACTGCGTTTTAGGCTTGTTCTTGTTGGTAGGGGTGGTGGACTGGACTGGTGGTGGTGTATGCAGTCACGTATGGAGAAGTATGGTGCAAGGTACCTTGTTTTAGCTCAAGTAGGTACTCCTGCTCTGTTTGTATCCATAGAGCAGGGTAAAAGAAGGTAAGTGGTAAGGTAGGCTTGGTATGTTCTTGTCGTGTTGTTGGTGGTGTGCGGTGGTGGTCCCTAGGCAAGGGGTCGTTTGTGTCTAGCTCGAGCGTGAGAGACCAGTAAGGGCAGTGTCGACTAGAAAAACAGGGGCGAGATATGTCATGGCAATGCTCAGTTTTATCGCTCATTGGAACGAGTGAGCAGACGGGGGGCTCGGGGCGGACTTGGCAGAAATGCGATGCGGCTGTCGAGTTGAGATAGAGGTGAAGATCGGAATCGCGGAGGAGGCTTGACTCGAAGAGTAACACACTATGTCGTTGCCTGGCCGGGCCCCGCACTGCCACACTAGTGGCCCCGTGCACGCTTGCAGTCCTTGCAGCCCAGGGTCCAACATGCTGAAGTGGAATCAGCCGAGAGACAATGGTACCGCAAATCACGAACCGCTCACTGGCCATCCGTACTATGCAGTAATAAGGCAGGTGAGGCCATGACCCGGTGGCAGCAGCATGCGCTGCGAGCATGCGTCTGGCTGCCGAGCCCAGGCATGAGCAAGCGTCAAAAGAGGCACGGTCAGGTAGCGACGCGAACACGCTTCGTACCTCGGTTGACGCTTCCATGCCCCATGTCCTCGAGATGGACTCAACGCTCACGATCCAAAGGTATGACTGGTCGGCCGAATGGCTGACTGGGCTGCGCAGTTGCAGTGCAACCACCGTCAGGATGTCTGTTCTGCCTTCGGGGGCCAATCCGCTGGATCCGCCGCAGAGCTGCATGACTGCCCACCTGAATAGCCTGAGAGACCCAGATGGGCCAAAGTCAGCAGGCGAGTGAGATGCAATGAAGACGAACTCTGGACCTCTTCCGGCCTACTTGCCCGGCCAGATTGCCCACTCTGACAATCTCAAGCGGTCCGTCCTGGACAGCAGGTTCCACGGACGGTAATGGCCACGGTGGCCGATGACGGTCTACGACTGGGGCTGCGGTTGTGCACCTTCTCGCATTTTGCGGTGTCTGCCCGTCTTTTCGACTCATCCTGCTCGCCTTCGTCGCCGAGACGATGCATTTTGGCATTGGGTCAGCTGTCTCCGAGGAAATGGGTTGCGCCGTCGCTGTTTGCGACAGAAATGCAAAGAAGGGTCGCCCCCCTGGCAGGCCGAATGGGGAAAAAGATACGGCGGGCCTGCGGAGTGCCTCAGCGGTCGAGCTGACAGGCGAAGGGGATGTGATGTGCCGCGATGCAGTGCGGGCGATTGACTCGGTGAAGCTAAGTGACGAAGCGAAGCGCTCTCCATCGCTCGCCCTCAATGCCAATGGGTGCCTGCCGGTTGGTTCACCACAAAAGCGCGCAACACAGAGAGGCGACATTGGCACACGAGATCCATCCCTGATGGAGACATTGTTCGGACGAGCCATTTTCTGGAAGACGCAAAGAATGTTCTTCTGCAGCAAGCTCGGGGCGATTCGAGGGGAGACATCGTCTCGAGGCGGTGGGTTCCAACGAGCTTGTCACCTCCGCCAACTGCAAGAGAATGTCATGTGTGGCCAAAATGGAGTCTAGGCTCGGTCATGATCAGAGGGTAAGGTCCTCAGGTCGTCCAATGTGCCCGCCTTGTACGGCCCCCTCCTGGGTTGGACCCGACCGCTGTGCAGCTGTCATAGTGGGGCCTCTCTTGCCTTCTAGAAAACTTCCATCGCTTAACGCACCTTAATGGTACCTAGATGATGACCTGGGTGACCTGCGTATCGTTCCGCGGGCCCCACGACATTGCCCACTCCGACTCCATCCCCTGCCACCACAACCATCACTACCACCACCAACACGAACTGCATTTACTCTGTTCTGTTTTGTACTGACTGCCTGCCTGGCTTTTCCCTTGTGCCTACTTAACCGCTTTAGGCACCTGACCTCACCTTATCTACATTGCCCGACCTTACCTAACCTCCAAAATGCGATGCACCTCCTCCCCTGCTGACGACTACCTTACGTTGCTGCTCTTCCCTGCAGCTACCTACCTACTTACCTAGAAACCTGCCTAGCTACATACCGCCATCGTTCTTGCTTAAACTTAACTGGCTGCCTACGCTCAACCACTCATCTGCGTCCAAGCCGACTTCCTACCTGGAGCTTCTACGCCCGGCTTATGATATGACATGGTGGCGGAGCGTCTTTATTGCAGACGGCAACGGCTTCGCTGGCCCTGTCGTCGTCTCTCACTGTAACCATCTGTGGTCATTTTTGCCTCGAAAGAGACGATTATGGGGTCATTCGGTAACCTGCAACCGAGCAACCGAGAAACACACACATCATCGAGGCTGAGCAGCCGCGTATGGCCCCAGACACCATTTGTTGTTGTTGTTGTGTGTGGCTGCTTTACGGGTAAACGCGACTGTGCCGTTGTGATGTGCAGCACCATCTAGAACTACCTTACTAGTGGCTGCTGCCAAGTTTCAACCTAAACCCAGCATCAACCGCAGTCATCGATATGTGTAACCATGACGCTCCCCCTCAACAACCAAGCATTCTCTGCCATTGGGCAATTGCGGACATAGATCGCCCGAGGCAAGAGCACAAGTCGGGTATCACCATGAGCATACTTGCAACCGCCAAGGGCAAAAGCCCCATCTGGGGTCACGCGGCGGTGGCGGTGCATTTCTTCTTCCATGTGCAAAGGTAGTATTCATCAGGCGGCCTATCGCCTAACCTTGAATGACCAGTCAGTAGTCAGTGTACTCAACAAAGATTGGGCCAGATCAGCCCTGGCCGTATGTTTCCGCAAAACGAGGCAAACGCCATTCCTCCCCGATACCAGAGGCTCGAGAAACCCATCCCAATCCGGGGCTACGCCTGGTAATACCGTGTGAACAATGCCACCTATTCATACATCGTCCTCGAGGAACTTGTAGGCGAACTTGAAGTCCGCTTTTCTACGGTTCATCCTGCGCGAGTCGTTAGTACTGGCTCTGGTTTCTGTCGTCCCCAAGAAAGACTTACCATGTGCTCTCATAGTCGAAGAACCGGTATGTGCCTTGCTCAAACTCCTCCGTAATGTTCTTCGGTTCCTCATGGCGCTGGAACCAGGTTTGGTACTGCTTATGAAACCGCCAACTCTGATCCTTCAGCGCCTTGGCCGCCAGGTATTGTTGGGGCGTGCCTTGCTTGTAGTAGAAGACGTAGAATAGAGTGTCAGGATCGATGCGCTGGTACAGACGCGGGTCCTCGAATAGCGGAAGAGGCTCCGAAGGGAAGCCGGTTCCTGACGACGAAATGCGCACGTCGGGGCGGTAGGTCCGCGGTACATCCGTGTCCATAATGTCGGGGCACATGGCCTGCGATGCCTGGAGCATGCGCTGTGTGGTCGCTGAGGTGTAGGAAGGCGGGCGCTTGCGTGACGTCTCGAACGACTCGACGAGGTCTTGGAGAGAAGCGGGAAGGTGGTATATCGACTCCTCTTCTTCTTCCTCCACGACAGGCTTGACACCGTTGGCGGCGCCGTTCGTTTGAGCAGCTATAGATGTTCAGCATATGAAGTCGACTGCAATTCCGTGGCAGCTTACCCTTGGCAGCTTCCGCCGCCTCCGCCGCGGCTTGGTTCTTGGCTGCCCGCTTTTCCGCTTTGCTCGGAGTGGGCATTGCCTTTGCGCTGGTTGCGGGGGCCTCGCTCGTGCTTGCTGACGGTACCGTTGGCTGCTTGATTTCAGGCTCTTTCGCAGCGACTGGGTGTGCGGATGTCGTTGCTGGAGAGTTTGATACGCTCGTCTTGGCCTGCGCTGGACTGGCAATGGCGACGGGTTGGGCGCCTGGTGGAGGTGGCAACGGGGAGATTCCAATCTTGTCTGACGCCGCTGCTGCCGCCGCCGCAGACGCGTACTTGAGGCCTTCTGCAGGTCTTGCGGGAACAGATGCTGGCTTCATGACGGGGCCGCTCGAGTTGCCGTTGCTGATAGTCGCTAATGGCGTATGCAGCGTTGCCAGCGCCGGTAAGGGGGACTTGGATTGCGCACTCGACCTCCGTCCCGACGCAGATACCTCTGCCACTGCCTTTGGCTTTGCGCTTGGAGGCTTGATGATCTCGGGCTCCGGTGTTGGCTCCTCTGCTTGCGACTGGGCGTCTTGCGACGATCCCTTGTCACCATCCTGAGGCATGCCGTACACGCCCTCCTCCTCGTCCAAGTTCAAGTCATCGTACATCTCGTCGTCCTCGATATAGTCGTCGTTCATGCCATCTGAAACGTAATAGCGGATCAATTCCTCGAGGTCGGTCACTTGATCCGTATCCACGCCACCGTTCTCGAGGGATCTCCGAATTAGCTCAAGTTTGCTCTGATGCCATTTATGGCGCTCAATGATGCGCTCGATCTCGGCGATGCGCTCGGCCTTGGCAGACTGGTTCTTGCCCTTCTTCATGGTGGCTTGTATCGACTCACTCTCGGCTTCGAGGGTCTCGATCTGTTGTTCCAGCTCGTCGACCATGCTGCTCAGGAAATCGCTTGCCTCTGCCTTGGCCTGTTCTTGTGGGTCGAGTTTCGCTGAAGAGGCCAACCCTTCCTTGGAGTATGCCTTAGTCTTCATGGCCTTCTCGACGGCCTTGAACTTCTCCATTTGCTGCGAGAGAGTTAGCAGAGCCACGGAAGGCTACCGCGGGATCATGGGCCACCGACCGTCTCGATCAAGCGACGGTGTTCCAGTAAAGGAGCCTTGTCCTTGATGTCGTTGCTTGCGGCCCATGTCTTGATCTGATCTCGTAGACGCTGGAGCTTCTTGATTTCACGCTTGAGGTTGTCCTCCAGCTTCTCCTTCTGAGAAATGTTATTCGATTGCTCGATTTTCTCGTAGATGGCCTCGAACTCGGCGACGCCTTCGGCCACCTTCTTGAAGCACTTGTCGACTTCTTGTTGCAGTTTTCGTGCCGCCATGGTGCCTGATTGTGTGTGTATCAGGGATGGAGATCGTTCGTCCGGCTTGGAGTTTCGGTATCGACTGATTGGGGGGGTCAGGTATGGTTGTGGTGATTGATGGCGATGATGACGGCTTCGGATCGGAGCTCAGGCTCGTCTGATGCGCTATCGATGTGCCGATGGGCGGAGAGTGGGTGGTGATGAGGTTTTGTGTCCCTCGAATGACGACTACTGCGCCGAAAAATACCGGCGATCGGTGATTGCGCGATCCAAATTTGCTTGCAACAAACAGATGCGGCTGTTTGATGATTTGAGGCTGCGGAAGAAAGAACCGCCAGCTGGAGGCGTGGGTGAAAGCCGTGCGCCAAGGTGGGACGTCTGGAGGTACCTTGTTTGTGGTAGAGGGAAAGTCTGAGGTGAGAGGTAAACAAGCACCATATACTGGTGAAGTGGGGAATTTTTATTTTTGTCAGGTGGTCGTAGTATTTCAGGCACTTCTAATGACCCAAGCCGCGACTTTTAGGTGGCTCTAAAGTGATTGAGCACCCAACGTGTAACATCTGAGTTATTCTAGGTCTATCTGAAGGAAGTCGCGACTGTCCAGGTCTGCACTGTGTAGGGCGAATGATGACACGGCCCCTTTCAGCCCAGCCTGCCACTCCAGTCGCGTTCAGGGATGTGAAGACCTGCCACCAACCTGCACGCACCCTATTAAACTCCCTGTCAGCCTGTCTATCCAGGTGTCTAGCACCCAATAGCTTCAATTTCCAGCCGTCCAGTGTCTCGATTTTTGATTGCGGGCTGCTTCTATCTCTGGCCGCTCTCATTTCTATTCCCAGCAAGCATTGGGTTGCAACCCGAAGCAAACAGATCGTAGCTGTGCCCTCTGGTTTCCTTGAGGATCTAACCCCCTCCCCCTCAAATTGCCGGGCGTAAGCCAAGGCCACAAACCCCAGGACGCCTTGGTCGCTAGCCTGTCTCTCCCCTCATCAATTGCTAAAGGTACCTGAGCTGCTTTCTACGTACTGCAATCTGTACGCTTGGTTGATCGGTGGCTTCTCAACCTTCAGACGGCATTGGCTGGCTGCATGCTACTACCATCTTAGCCCCTGGGTTTTCCTCCTTGTGTTTGGCACTTTTTGACCTCATCCGGTCGACGGCTGAGGCGGTTCCACGTTCCGGTCAATCAATCAGTGTCTGAAGAGACGGATCCGCGCGTTTGAATCCTCTGCCGTTCTCAGCTCTGAAACCTATTCCCTGTTTCTGCCAAATTGCATTTACGCAGTGCTGCAAGATGAAAGGCAAGGATCCTTCCGTTATTATCCGCTGTAAGTCCAAGTATGTTGACTCTTTTTGCTTCCAGCCATCGTCCAGCGTGTGCTGTCCGCCTCGGTGACAGTGGACAAGGAGGTCATCTCCTCCATTGGCAAAGGCGTTTTGGTGCTCGCTGCCGTTGCCCCCGGTGACACGGAGAAGGAAGCAGAAGCTCTTGCAACCAAGGTGCTGAAGCTCAAGATGTGGGATGACGACGCCGGCGGCAGATGGAAGAAGAACGTCCAGGACATTTCCGGGGAAGTTCTCTGCGGTACGTCTGTCATGATGATGAATCAGCGCGCCGGCTTTCCTAACCTTTGCAGTGTCTCAATTCACACTATTCGCTAAGATTAGTAAGAACAAGCCTGACTTCCGCCTGTCGGCAGGCGCCGAGGACGCCAAGCGGCTGTATCACCACTTCTTGCAGAAGGTCCAGGCTGGTTACGCCGCAGACAAGGTCAAAGATGGGAGATTTCAGGCAATGATGGAGGTCGCTCTCGTCAACGATGGCCCCGTAACCCTGGAGCTCAACACAGACCCTGCGCCGCCGAAGCAGTGAGTACCTGCGTCTGGCACTGCATTCGGTTTCATGGTCCCTTTGGATTGTAAGTATACCCGAGGCTTGGAGCTCTTGCTCATAGATACGGGGCAAACAATAGATGGACTACTACTTGAGCTGTTAGACTTCAACTAGATGAACATACCCTTGGCTCCAGGGTTGGGCACATAGAGAGGCCACAATGCCATTTCCCAGGCATGCGAAACTGACATCTCCATGATTGAAAACTGCAGGAGCTGATTGGTAGATCGTCACCGACGCTGCCTTCCTCACAAACGACAAGCTGCTGACTGGCAAGCGCCAAACCGCCCTTCCTTTAGGTAAGGGGGTTGGCTCGGGCGTCGCTTCCCCCACTGCCGCGCAGGATTGCGGTGCAACACAGCTGCCCCGCGCCAGGTCTTCCTGGAGCTAGAAAGTTCCATCGCAACCCCACTTAGCTGTGAGCTCACTTGGGGAGAGGTATTCTTAACTTTGACTACTACCAACGCCGCATCGTCACTTTAAATCTTGCTCCTTTGACTTAATTCTGGTCACCACTCACAGTTGCGTCTGACTTTCACTTGGTTGAAGCTATCCACAGCTCAGACCAAACAGCAACCTCCAGCTAAATACCCAGAGACTGTGACAAGCTCTCTACCCCGCACCACTCGCACAGAGCGCAACGTCTCAGCCTGATCTTAGGTAGATCGAGACAACACCAGTTCATCCTTCCCACCTCACCAACACCACACAAACCGCAACCATGTCTGCCGACGAGACCAAGCAGGCGCGCTCCCGCGTCTTCTTCGACGTGACCATTGGTGGCAAGTCCGCCGGTCGCATTACCATGGAGCTCTACAACGATCTTGTCCCCAAAACTGCCGAGAACTTCCGCGCTCTCTGCACAGGAGAGAAGGGCTTGGGCAAGACCGGAAAGCCCCTCCACTACAAGGGATCTGGCTTCCACCGTGTTATCAAGCAGTTCATGATCCAGGGCGGTGACTTCACCGCCGGCAACGGAACTGGCGGCGAATCCATCTACGGCGAGAAGTTCGAGGACGAGGCCTTCCCCTTGAAGCATGAGCGCCCTTTCCTTCTTTCCATGGCAAACGCTGGACCTAGTAAGCTGCTCCGTACTTATTCAGCCCTGCCGTCGGTTTCAAAAACTAACCACCTACAACACAGATACAAACGGCTCTCAGTTCTTCATCACCACCGTCCCGACCCCCCACCTCGACAACAAGCATGTTGTCTTCGGTGAAGTCCTCAACGGCAAGTCTGTTGTCCGCCAGATCGAGAACCTCCAGACCGAGACTGGCGACAAGCCCGTCAAGGATGCCGTCATCGCCGACTGCGGTGAGCTCACCGGAGACGCTGCCTTGGCTGCCGATGTCAAGGCCCCTGATGCCATGGGTGATACCTACGAGGACTACCCCGAGGATTGCGCCTCCCCTCCCGACGCAAAGGAGACGCTCAAGATCGCCACGGCCTGCAAGGACTTTGGAAACAAGGCCTTCAAGGCCGGCGACTTCCAGACCGGTCTTGACAAGTACCAAAAGGGTCTGCGCTACCTCAACGAGGAGCCTGACCTCGACAACGAGCCCGCCGAGGTACAGGCCGAGCTCAAGGCCCTCCGCTTCTCCCTGAACAACAACTCGGCCCTGCTCAACATTAAGCTTGAGAACTGGGAGGATGCCGCCAAGACCGCCGGCTACGCCCTCGACATTGCTGGCATTAAGGATGCCGACCGCGCCAAGGCTCTGTACCGTCGCGGCTTCGCCAGCGTTCGCCTCAAGGATGACGAGAGCGCCATCAAGGACCTGGAGGAGGCTCACAAGCTTGTTCCCGAGGACAAGGTCATCCTCAATGAGCTCAACGCCGTCAAGCAGAAGGCTTCCGCCCGCGCGGCCAAGGAAAAGGCTGCGTACAAGAAGTTCTTCCAATAGAGTATGCTTATGCTCTGAAATGACGTGCACATTCGTCCACTTCGCTGATGTGACTATCGACGCATCGGAGGAGCTCTACAGCGATGAGGCTGGAAAACCGACCACAGTAGCGCCTGGATTGAGGGTTGGATCGACTAGAGCGGACAACTAGGAGCCGAGCGCGGTACGACCTAGAAAAAGAGACGATGAAGACGTGACGAATTTTGGGTCTTTGGGGCGATTAAAAACCGGGTTAATTCATTTGAATTTGGGGCGTAAAGAGACGACGGATATGGCGAAGACGAAAAGAAAAACCATAGGATTCAGGTAGATACCTCCACACAATGTTCAATATTATTTACATTACACGCACATGTTCTTGTACTGCGCATCAAGTGTCTTGCGCGCGCGTCTGGTTCGTGCGGACGAGGCAAAAAGGTATCTTCTAATCATGATGTGTCTGGGTATATTCATCGTGTCCCATGATGCGAAGGCTACCTTACACCAAGGAACCTAGCAAGCAAGAAGGGTGAAGGAAACAATCAACATCAAAAAACAACAGGGCCGAGCCTCCAACCAATGCATGGGAAGCCATTTTTGTCTTCCCTCCTTCCCGAGCGAGCAAAGCTTGCCCTGTCGGGTCAAAGAAACGCCGGGGTGGTTTCACGAATACCCATGAGAGCCCGGCTTGCCTCCCTCCCAGAGTAGTAATGCAGCAGCCATGATCGCCATCTTATACGCTCCAAATGCGCGTATCCAGATATCCTCCTCGTCGTGAGAAAAACTAAAAACGGGAGATTTTTGTGTCGTCAAAGTCCCGTGGGCTTTTGTGTTCATGTTCGTATGCGAAGAAAGTAGGCAACAAAGAAAAATAAGAGACGGCCGGTGGCCCTCAAGTGGTGTGTGTTGGTTTGTGATGCGTCCACTGATGTTGATCAGTAGCCAGTATTCCAGTTACGCTCAAAGTTCTTGCTTCGCGATACTGATGGCGACGAGTCAGGCGACTCTCCTCGAGCAAATGGCTTCATGATGCCAGACAAAATATGGCGTGTGGCTCGGCCGTTACGCTTGAGCGTCGCGAGGTGTCCTGTCGAGTGGTTCGAATGCCCAGAGTTCTGTCTCATTGAGCTCCTGTCCCGGCCACGGCGTTGCTCACGGCTTCGGGACGAAGACGTCTCCATGTACGCATCGCTGCCGGCTGATCCAGGAGGCACGAGATTGTCTTGCTCCATCCAGACCGT